AATCTTTTAATATCTGAATAAATCTAAGTAAATTGTCATTTTAGAATACAGAAATCGAAAATATATATAAAATCTAATATAAGTTTGCTTCCACCAATTATTTCTAGACCTACAACTACAATTTAACTATAATTTATAAGTCTATTCTTCTAAGCTTAGCCACTAAGCCTAAGTTTTCAGTACCGGTACCATTTACTAATCTCAACTATAATAATAATAATTATAACTATAAACTATTAATATTAAGCCCCAAAGTTTAATCATAATACAAATTTTCTAATACTACATAAGGCCTAATTTACATATTCAAATTGTTATCATATTGATAATTTCCAAATTTGGTAAAGTAAAGAGAAATTAAAATAGTTTTATTATTAATAATTAAATATTAATAGTATATGAAAGATTTATTAAAATACATCAAATTAATAAACAATACTCAAACAACATCATCACAGTAATTATATTTTTATTAGGACAAAGAAAAGCAGTACACAGACAATTATTTGATATATCAAATAACAATTTTTAATTATAGTCATCATCATGGATGATTTTATTGAGTAATTTTTTATTTATAATTATGTATTCAATTAAAATATAAAAAAGATTTACTTACCTTTTAATAAATATAATAATTGATTTAAGATTTAACACAAGAATAATAAAATTAGTTAAAATTCAATAAAATTTTTTTTTTTTTTTCGGTTTTACCTGCATAAATAATGATTTTCCCAATTTTTCTGTTCACTTTTTTTCTGAACATACCCTTAAATAAATTTTAAAAAAAATAAAAGTCTTGATGTTATATAAAAGTTTTGTTGTTTATTGTGTTGTATATTGCATTGAGAATGTCTCCTGAAAATTTGGTAGCATTATCTTTTAAAATCAAAAAGTTTTGGGCAAAAGAAGGCAGAAATTTGTAAAGTGGGTCACACGTTTTTTCAGTTAAATACTAAGATAAAGAAGGGGGTTTTGAAAAATCACAACAAAAAAAATCATAACTCAACTTCTATAAAAGTGGGTACTTTGACACAAAATTTAAAAATTGTCAAATTGATTGCCATGAATGATACATCATTTTAAAGGGGCTTTACAACAACACCAATTTCATCTTTCTATCTTTTATAGAAGTGGAGCTATGATTTTTTTTGGTGATTTTTAAACACCCCCTTCTTTATCTTAGTATTAAACTGAAAAAAAAAAAGTGACCCACTTTCAAAATTTCTGCCTTATTTTAACCAAAACTTTTTGATTTTAAAAGATAATGCTACCAAATTTTCAGGAGACATTCTCAATGCAATATACAGTATAATAAGCAACAAAACTTTTATATAACATTAAGACTTTTATTTTTCATAAATTTGTGGGTATGTTCAGAAAAAAGTGAACAGAAAAATTGAAAATCAATATTTATACAGGAAAAAACAAAAAACAAAAAACACGATTTGTCCATATTTATTATTATTTAATGAATTTTAACTAATTTTATTATGCTTGTGTTAATTTTAAATCAATTATTATATTTATAAAAAGGTAAGTAGTCTTTTTTATTTATAAAATTGAAAGCATGTAATTATAGATAAAATTACTCAAAAATCATCCATGATGATAATATGATAATGATGAGACTAATTCATTTAAAAAAATTATTTTATATATTAAATAATTGTCTATGTACTGCTTTTCTATGTCCTAATAAAAATATAATTGCTATGATGATGTTGTTTGAGTCTTGTTTATTAATTTGATGTATTTTAATAAAACTGAGCCTAAATAGACAATTATAGGATTATAATAACAGTTGTTTATAATTATAATTATAACTGATAATGATAAGTAGGCCTAATTTTAGTAATATTCTCTGAAATAATTAATAAGAGAAAAACTATTATTAATATCGATATTACTGTTGTAAAACTATTAAATATTGATTCAATAATGAATGAACGATAAACTGTGTACCGGTACCCTACATAATTTTTAACGTAATAAATAAAACTTAAAACCAACCCTTGGTTACTACATAAACTTTTCAAGTTTGCCTATAATCTTTTCTTAAAATGATTCATTTTAAACGTCTTATAATTATTTAGATGTTTAAGGATTTAACATTAACGAATAACAGCGATAGCAGCCATTTCCGGCTTCTCGATCAAAATAAAAAAAATAATGATAATTTCATTAGGGGTGTGCCTGATCGGTTTTTTCCAACCGCATCCGGATTTTCTTATGCGAAATCCACCGGATTCGGATCCGGAATAATCCGGATTCCGGTACTATAGGTAGATACTTCGGTAAGTCAAGGTAGACTACTAATTTTTGTGTATGAGAATTCGCAATCGGCGCCAAAAAATCCGACTTTTTAATTTTCCGATGTGTGTGTCTATTTATTATTAAATTAGTACTTTCGATATATATTTGAGTTCCGTTTTCGGCCTTATAATTAGGTAGACATCTTGGCCTACATTTTAATCAATTACTTTTTTCATTTACCATCAGTCAGCTTTGAGAAAATCCTTGGTAAATATAAGGCAACTTTCATCATTAAAATTAAGTCGAAGGAAAAAATTTGTCACTACCAAATTTTTTTTGCATCTGGGGAATCTATTGATCTACACGTATGCCAATTTTCACAGCGATAAGTGTCTTACGAGAGACGCCATGTTTCTACGCGTTCGCAGCAGGTCATGCAGCTCGCTCAACCTAATTTCGCCATGGGGTTGGCCACGCCCCCCTTTTTAATGGCGGAAGTTGACGATACTTAGGAAATATTAATTTATTATCACTATTTACATCAAAATAATTGATAACTTGTGTTTCAGAATGCATTTAAAGACATTTAAACTGGAATGTTTTAATTTGAGCTTTAACAACCCGGTAGAATCCATATTATAAATGATCAGAATTTACCGTGTGCAACACGTTGTCATTGGCAACCATTCACAGCCACTTGCATAACTGTATCGTAGTACTACCTCAGAGTTTCATTCATAAGAGTTTGCCGTGTGCAAAAACTATTAAACCATTGGTCAGGGAAAGCTTTAATTAATTATTCATGTGCCAAAGTTGAAAGTTTAAACTAAGTCTAAACAGTATTTTAGTGATAAGGCAGGGAATGCGTTGCCTTATATAAACTATATAGTCATTGCGCATGACGGGATTGGTGGAATGAGATCACAGAATGTGGAGATGCAGTCCATGTTAAAAAATGACAAACCAAGTCGTACTTTAAAAATTCATAACTTTAAAACTACAACAGCTAAATATATGATTTTGGTGTTATAATTCTTTAAAAAATTACATCTTTTCAACTATGCCATTGGTTTATTTTTACAAAAAGTTTAAATTTTCTAATCAAAGTCCCTACACTATTGGCCACTATTAGCGGTGCTGACTCTAGCCTCTGGTATGTACGGAATATTAAACATAAAACAAGCTCAACGCTCGAAACAATCTATTAATGTATCGTGATCGTGTGGAATTCGGGAAAGAGAATTACTTTTATTTCAGATTATGATCCGGTGAGTCACAAAATCTGGCAAATTCCGAAATCCGGTATATTCCGGATTCCGGTTGTTCCGGATACATGTAAATCCGGCGGAACCGGATTTCACCGGATAGTGCAAAATCCGGCGGAACCGGATTCCGGACCGGGATCTGGCACACCCCTAAATAATACTGCCCGTGATGCAAAAAAAGTATCAAAGCATAAATCAATATATGACCGGAACACAAAAACTGATACGTCAGTGATGAGGAAAGCAATTATTTACTAAACAAAGGTGACGTAGTCTGCAATTTTCCAATGATACCGTGTTGCTGTATGCCATATTGCAGAACATGTTTTTTCGACATTTTAGGACATGCGCAGAACGGTGCGTGGACAAGTATTGTTATCCCTAATAAAAGATAGAAAGATGAAATTGATGTTGTTGTAAAGCTTATAGCTAGCCCTTTAAAATGATGTATCATTCATGGCAATCGGACAATATTTAAATTTTGTGTCAAAGTTCCTACTTGCATAATTTGTTGAAGTACATGTGTGCAAAATTTCATTAAGATAGCTCATGAAACATTTTCACAATTCTCAACGTTGACCTCATTATGCAAAGGTCGCACAGGCCATTTTGGATTAGTGATTCTGCCCCCTTTCAAATAGCCGAAAACTTACCTTAGGAAATATTCATTTGGGGTCATCACTTTCAACTTTACTTTTACTTACTTGGTTCATGCGGTCCATGTTAAAAAAGGACAAATTAAATCGTACTTAAAAAATTCATAACTTTAAAACTACAACAGCTAAAAATATGATTTTGGTGTTATCATTCTTTAAAAAATTAGCTTTATTCAACTATGCCATTGGTTTATTTTTACAAAAAGTTTTAATTTTCTAATCAAAGTACCTACAACTGCCTGTATTTAATGAATAAAGAATACACCTAAGTTTACATGATAAAATACGAAAGCGTTAAGAAATAATTTACGCACCTGAACTCCACTTTTACCCAGTATGGTTTGTTAGAAATTCAATAAGTTAGACTAATATCAAATTACAATTACAGATAAGACAGTACTGTGGCCGATTTGCCGCCAAAAAAAAAAGAGAAGTAAAGCAACATTGATCTTTATTGATGTCCTGTTAATGATTATAGAACTATATTTAAAATAGAACTTAAAAATACCATAAAATTATAAACCTTACTTTCTTTCAGCTGTACGTAACATTTTTCTTGTGTTTCTTCAGAGCTACCGGTACATGAAAGTATTGAAAATATGGTACATGTCTCGATTGATAATAATGGCGATTAAGATGGCAACCAACTCAACCAACAGGAAGTATTTGTCATAACCAACTTCACGTGACCAGCCAGGTCCGAATTGCCATTTGCGGCTAAGGGTACTCGGGTATCTATAGCCACTTCGAATATATATATATATATATATTATATGTATAATACTGGTGTGTTAAGAGTTTGAGTTAAAAAGTTTGAGAAACGCTGCTGAAGGGGAAGCCATTCCCATAATGACGTCAAGATTCCGCAGATTAAAAAAAGTAAAATCTTCCGGGTGTGAAGTATCCATCCTGTTATCGCGAATTTTCGAAATAAATGATAGAATGTACCACTGACCACTGATTGAACTTCCGAGCTGTTTCTGATTAGTTTTGACTTGCTTATTATTTAAATTAACTTTCTAGTGTATGTACTGACTCTATGCAGACAATTCACGCCATGACGTCATTTTCGATTTTATTTAAGTAAATGTAAAAGTTTCTTTGCTAGATTCACTCCCCTTTTTTTTTGTTTATTTAATAAATTTAGTATTAATTTAATAGTCTAAATTTTCTCTGTAGTACTTTGTTTAAGTAAAACTATCGTATGCCTAAGCCTGTCATTTAGGTATTAGTAATAGCTATTTGAGGTTAATTGCATTGCAACTAGTCAAAATATGTTTATTTTATTAAGTCTAGCTTAAGTTTAACTTAACTTAACTAAGTCTAGTCTAAGTCTAAGTCTAACTAACCGAGAACCTAAAAAAGGTACGTTAAAAAGGCCAAGTTCCAATCATCAATCATACTCATACTCAATGATACTCAATGATTGCCAATCAATGAGTTTGAACGAGCAATGGCTGACATTACTTAATTATTTAGTAAAGAAAATTAGTGCTAATAATCTAATGTGGCGGCTTTTTATAACACTGAATCTGAAATTATATGCATTATGCCATGCCTTATTAAATTGAGACCAGACAAAAACTTAAGTCAAGTCAGTATATAAAAGACAGTAAAGAGTAGACTGAGTAATGCTTAGTAGTAATAGTATATTATTTTATTTAAACAGTATGATTATGATGAGTATTATTATTATGAGTAAAGTTAAAGTGTAAAGTAAAAGTAACCAACTAAGTCTAAGTCATAGTTATCTACTAATAAGTCTAAGTACTAAGTTGTAATTATTATTATTTACATATAGTATAGGCCTATAAGTGTTAGACCGTGTGTAAGTCATGCAGAAAGAAGTCAAAGACCAGATTGTGGCTACGATCTATGGACAATGTGTGGGAGACGCATTAGGTTTGCTGACTGAATTCATGACAAAAATTGATGCAAAAAAGGTAAATTTGCTACACAAAAAGACTGTTCACATTTTTAAAAAAAATTAAACAACACCTGAATTAACTTAAGTAACTTAATTATGTTCCAGCTTTTTCATGACTCATTATTAGCAACCATAAAACCTGTCATTCAAAATGTTTTTATTTTAATCCAAAAAAAAATGTATAATAATAAAGGTAAAAATAAATTTTAATTATAGACATATAGTAGACTTAAGTAGGCTACTTAAGACTAAAACAGTAAATTGGCCCTCATAGTCATCCCTTTCCCCTATCTTTTCTACCAATTTTTTGTCCTTCAAAATTTCAAATCTTTATTTTATTCAGCCAACTGATAATAAATTAAAATTGTTAGAAGAACATGAGGAAACACCTTTTTTGTTCCACAGTATTATGGCAGGAGACCAAAAGACTTGAAATATTCACAAAAAGTTCCAGATTTTCATAGAAGTAGATGGCAGGAAGGGGATTGGACTGATGACAGTGATCACATGATTGTCATAATGCAGTCCATTCTCAACAATAAAGGCCAGGTAAGTTATTCATTGCATTCCTAACTTAAATTTTTTTAAATGTAATCTTATTAAATTATAAATTCCATTTTAGAAGATTAAGACCTAAAATTGAAGTTGCTGATAATTAATCAAATAATATCTTTGAAATAAATAATCTCCAACAAAAAATTATAAATTTTATAAAAGCTTGTTTTACACGTTGACAGTAAAGTATTTGATAGACCCAAATGCAATAATTATACAGAATGTTTTGTATTATTTTTATTGATAACTTATGAATTTATACAGATTCTATTCAAACATTTTAAAATGCATTTTTTTATTTTAGATTTTGGTCACTGACTTTGCCTTAAGGATAAAGCGATGGATGGAGCAAGGATTTCCTGAACTAGGAGACTATGGTGGGATGGGAATCGGCAAAACGACAAGCACAGTGTTAAAGCATCACAATTTCACCACAGATCCCCATAAGGTTTATAAAATAAACAATGTCATTTGCTTCTGAGGGTATCAATGTTGTAGTATAAGCTTTCTTTTTATTTGTCCAGAGCATTTTTATGAATGTATATTAGTGTAGTTTATATAGGAATTATTAGTTTAATTTTGTAAAACTAGTTTGAACTTTGATGAAGACAACTACTGCATTTCAGGTATCTTATGAATGCTGGGATAACAGTCAGCGTAATATAGCCCCTAATGGAGCTGTGATGAGGACCTCAGTATTGGGGATACACCATTTTGATGATTTAGAGGCAGTAGTATCCAACACATTAGATATTTGTAAAACTACCCATGCTGATCCCAGGTAAAATTGAACAGGTACCACATATAATTAAATATATAATAATGTAACCATTGCTTCACTGCCCAATTAATCAAACTAGCTTCTTCAGCATTGATGTAACATTTATTCAAATTAAATTTAGGCAGTGAACTCCATCTTAACTTTCTATTGCAAATAGGGAATTGTGATTGTTAAATATAATTCTTCATTTCACAAGATGTGTAATGATTTTTATTTTTTAATGTTTTATGTTACCTTAAACTTTTTTGGGAATACGCATTTTATTTTTGATCATAACATCAACATTTTCTTTAACACACCAATAAACATTTTAATGAACATTTAAATAAACATTTTTTTTCTACCTCAATGGAATAGATGCCAAGCCTCTTGTGTAGCAGTCAGTGTGTGTATATCACTCATGCTGCAACACACAGCTAAACAGAGTCCTGATCAGAAGAGCCAACTAGATGTTGAGTCACTTGTGACAAAATCTTATGAACAAGCTTGTCGGGTGCTAGGAACTGAAGAAGAGGTAACTGATAATTATTATTCTGTTGTATCTCATCTTATGATCATTGTCTGCAGTTTAATATGAGACTTATTTAGCCATCAGTTAAAGTTAAAATTACCAGTGGAAAACACTAGTAGTAGTAGTAGCCCGACATTTATGTTTCACTTGACTTTTGGAGTTCAAAGTTTAAAGTATTTTCCAGCATCACAAACTTTGTGTCCTTTAAATATCCAAGGCTCCATACAGCCACAGGGGCTGCAGGTCCCATGCAACGGCTCTGATTTTAAATAATATATTGTTTAATAATTATTCTTTCTAACTAATTATTGATGAATTTTTAACATTTGTAATATTGAAAGGAATCAGGATTATGCTGTGTAGAATTAACTAGATGTGTTTGTTACATCTTTTGATTTTTCTTTTTTTTTGCAAAAGGGTTTGTTTTTTTTGCCAATTATGAAAATCTCATATTGCAAAGCTTCTTGCTTTTTTTTTTTTACCCTGGTGTAAAAAATATATTTTCAGAAGAAAGAGTTGTTCTTTTACATGAATTGTTCAAAACTTAAAAAACTGCAGTTGACAGAACCAGGCAAGATAGGCTATACATACAAATGTTTGGGTGCAGGATTCTGGGCATTGAGGCAGAAAGACTTTAAGAAGGCCATGATCAAGCTAATAATGGAGGTAGTCAAGTCCACTCATTTATTTTTATATCAGGTTGTAACTTTGAATTCAGCTGAGTGATAATGCTCCTCATTAATACTAATTTTCATCCCATTTTTTTTTTATAAAGAACAAGTTTTTTTTTATTTCATAGGGGGGTGATGCAGATACAAATGCAGCTGTAGCTGGTGCCATGTTGGGCTGTGCACTTGGTAGATCTGCAATACCTGACTTATGGATTACAGGTCTCAAACACAGGGAATGGCTTAGTGGCTATATTGACAGGTGAGATTAATGCTGGTAATAAATACTCATGACAGACAGAAACCAGGGGGCAGACAGTGCATAGTTGACCAAGACTGAGATGGATTGATAATGTGGAGACAGATTTAAAATACTGAAGGGTCCGCGGATGGAGACGAAAAGCGATGGCTTGGTCTGAATGAAAGGATGTGTTGCAGCAGGTCGGAGCCCAAAGTGGGCTGTAGAGCCATTTATGACATATGACTATTATGAATAATTACTGATGGAGATGCACCATTTTTTTTTCTACATCATCATTATAAGTTTTGATATTCCCCAAAGACAAGGAAAACATTTGAAGTCTTTTTCTTTTTCATCGTAAACCACTTCTATCATAGTTTAGCCAAAAATAAATGTAAACTTAGTAATTGTCTTTTTTTTTTTTAATTGTTCAATTTCAATCACACACTAGAAGATTTTGTTCATTGGAACATAAAAAATAGGAAATGCCTTTTCCTGCTACTGTCCTGTGAATTTCAGGTTTCTGAAACTGCAAGAAGAGATGAAGCTGCCAGTCCAACAGCGAAGCTGTTATGAGGACCTTGACATGAATCTGCTCACAGAATCTGATGCCAGATTGAAAGAAGAAAGAGCGATTGCTTTCAAATTCAAAGCAGCTCAGAAAAGAAATTGAAAAACAACAACCAGTGATGCATCCAATATTTCATTATTGGATGAAAGCATAAATACTCTTGTGAAATATTCTCATTGGATGCATTCATTTTTATGCATACCAATCTTTTCCTACCATTAAAAAAGTATTATGTATTCTAAATAAGTATACAAATAAAATTAAAAGTTTATATTTACATAAATGGTTCTCAAACTTTTTTGTACTGCATCAGATAATGACTGGAAAATATGTATATAATTATAATCTAGGGATACAATTTAAATTTTTTCTATTGTAATAAATAACAATAAGAGTTAGTTATTTTTTTTTTTAAAGAGACTTCTTGTGGATTTGTCCAGCCATATATTACAAGAAAGACTTTTAAATTTTTTATTTTCTTTAATAATTGAAAATAATCCCTGTCATTATTTTCTTTTTTATTTGCCTATCCGTTGTTGATTTAATAGTTTTAAGTATATTTTGCTGTAATCAATCAATAATAACCCTAACCAACGAAAATGTACGTTTTTAATTTTTAAATAACTAAATTTTATATTACAAATAAATTATACATTGCAGCATTATCAATGAGTATCACATTGTCCCTGAACACTATTAACTATACATATCAATTACTCTTTTTCAATTTAAATTATTTTTATTTCTTAATATTTAATGTGATATTTATAAACTAAACATTTATTGTAAAATTCCATTTGATATGTATTCCACTCTTCATGCGCAGATGACTTTTCACTTTGTACCTTTAAAAAAATGATGAATAAATATTTTTATATTCTTTTTTATTTTTCTACCATTACTTTTTTTTTGTTGGTTCCCTGTAATTGATTAAAAAAAACAAATGTTCCACGCATAAGAATATGCCATACTTAAGCTTGTGTTCATCGACGGGTAATGGCTATTAATTTACATTCTGATCCCCCTTTTTTTTTTCTTTTTTTTTTTTTAAAATTAAAACACCAAAAAATGTCCTGGGAGTACAGGAGGTACCCCTGCATTACAACTTTTTTTATTTATTATCAAATAATTCCTTCTTTATTTTTTTATTTTTTTTTTTTTTTTTTTTTCCTTTTTTTTTTTTTTTTTTTTTTTTTTAGAATTAAAACACCAAAAAATGTCCTGGGAGTACAGGAGGTACCCCTGCATTACAACTTGTTTTACTTATTATCAAATAATTCCTACTTTATTTTTTTATACTGGTAAAATTTACGTACTTGAAAATAATATGTTGTATATTTTGCAACCACAAATCTTCATTAAAAAAAAAAGTCTTTCAAAATTAATTATGTAAAACAACAATAAATGCATTTATATTTTTTAAAATCCGTTTTGCGTTTATTTATTCCACAAATAATTGAGATTTGTCTCTGTTCAATTCTATTTAATAATATGGCACATAGTAAGACATTTAAAAACTTTTATAAAGCTAAATAAATGTTACAATTCTATTTCGCTTTAACTTTATGATTCCAAAAAATTCTTCTACAACGGAAAATAAGAAAATAAGTCATAAGAAAATTGTATTTTTGCGTTCCATTATTATGGAATTCAATTTATTCATGTAGTATATTATGTTGATCAAAATTTCTCAACAAAATAAAAACAAAAATCATGGAGTGTTAACTACAGTGGTTTAATAACTTTTTTAAATGTACACTTTTGTAAAATTTAAAAAAAAAAAGTCATGAAAATATTAAGAAAAAATGCATTCATATTTAATGTAAATGGACGGAATTAAATGTGATGCTAAAGAAGTTTTAGAATTTTTATTCCACTCATTCTTCAAAGATTGATAGCTCTTTTCAAATACCCAATAAGACGAGTGAATTTGAACCTGACATCAGTGGGAGAAAAGTTTGCTTGCTACGTTGTAACCACTTTATTTTAAAAGAGTTTAAGACATTTTGGCTTACAGACAACTCCACAAACCTAAGGGTGTTTGACAAGAGCTTTTACTTTTATAAATTTAATGCAAACAATAATATAATACATTCTTCTAAATATGGATAAAGATAATAAACATCAAGCTATTGAAGCCAGAGATGAGCCACAAATGTTTTTGATGCAGCGACTTGATTACAAATATCTGATCAAAATTTGAGAAGCATGCAATTTTAAATATTGTTTAATTTTAAACATGCATATATACAAAAATAAATACATGTAATTTTTCTATTACAAAATACTTCCTGAAAGCTTTAATTTCAGTTTGTCCAACTCTCTAGTGGAATGTTTTCTTTTTTTCAAATAATTATTAATGCAAATAAAAACGTTCTGAGACATTTGGGAAAATGATTTACTTAAGTGCATTATCTAGTTCCTAATTTTCCTTGGCTCTTTAAAAGCATAAATAAATAGAGTTTAAAAATATATTTTAAAAAAAAATAACTTACACTTATATATATTTGGGGATTTTCCTTATCTTAAGAGGATATGGAGAAGGAATAAAGGAATATATAAAATCTTTCAAAAAATTGCCCTTTCTAGAGGTATTGTTTTGAAACCAAAAAAAAAAAAAAAAAAAAAAAAAAAAAAAAAAAAAAAAAAAAAAAAAAAAAAAAAAAAAAAAAAAAAAAAAAAAAAAAAAAAAAAAAACTTTACAAAAAATTCCCTTTTAAAAGATAATTTTTTAAAACAAAAAAAAAAAAAAAAAAAAAAAAAAATCCTATAAGGAAACTAACTGGGAATTCTGTTTAAATTGAGAATATGAAGATTGTCAATAACAAAACACAAATAATTAAAACAAGGGATCTTAAATTAAAACCAGATCTGTATCTTACTGTAACTAGTATGTCAAACAATTTTAAAATCATTTAATACATTTCCTAACACGCTCATTAACTCAGTAATGCAAACTTTCTGGTCTCCAGAATTCAAGTCTGCTGTATATAAACAAATTAATGGATGCTGCAAGTAGTTTAAATAAAACATTTCTCCAGGCTCATTATTTACAAAGCCCAAAGCAGTTAGAAAGATAGGATGACTATTCCATAACTATTATTGAAATATAAATATAAGGTAACAAAAAATATTTTTGTTTTAAATATGACTTATTACAGATAGTTTGTTGAACTTTCTGCCAACTAAAATATTGCTACTAATGCTTATTTAGTTAGACAGTTATTTCTTGATGACTAATGGCTTACAGCTTATGGTCATTTCTTTATGTTCATGCACTCCACAAGTTTGTTCTCTGTAATGGTTAATCGCTGCTCAAGTAATGAGACGGTCTGGAACAGGAGAATTTTTAAATTAGTTACAGAAATTTTTGTTGTTTTTTTATTACAGTATGGTGTGATTTAGATATCCCTTAACTGTTGATTTTTAAAACTCTGAAAGTTATTCCTAAGTAAAAAGAAAAGAATTTTTATTTTAACAAAGCAGTCATATAAGCACTTGAATAAAGGCTGAAACATTTTGAAACATATTGGCACAATTTGCAGTCATCATCCCTAGTATTTATGAAATAAAAATAAGTTCATCAATTAAAAGAATTCTCATTTTTATCTTCACCGACACATTTTTCTTTACATTTTAAAATGTGTTCAAATATACAGACACAGCATCGCCACCGAATATGTTAACATTTCCTTATGTAAATGAAATGGATGAAAATAAACAATCTTCTCCTTCTAATAATATACAAAAGGTACAGTAAAACCTGAAAATAGATAATAATAGGAAATGGAAGTTTCAGCCAAAAAGCCTTCAACAGCAAAAATAGTTAAAGTAAAGACAGAAACAAATGCTCTTAGCTTGTTTAGATATGTAGTTTGAGTAAGAATGAAAATATATTTTGATATTGGTCAGTCTCCGAGATCAATGCATATTGGTAAGTCTCCGAGATCAATGCATATTGGTCAGTCTCCAAGATCAATGCATATTGGTCAGTCTACGAGATCAATGCAAACAGCAGGAAATCTCAGCTTCCACCATACAGAGATAACTCATCTGGGTTAAAAAAGACCTCCCCCCCCACCCTTCCCCCTTGCATTTGAGCTAAATTATCTTGTCTCACTAACCTGAGTCAGAATATCCAGCTGACTAGCCACATGCTGCATAAACACAGTGAGCTGTTGGGGGATCTGCACATCAAGGCGTTCTGTCTCTGGGGTCTCACTATCTCCTTTAGACCAGTTGCGATTTTTTTCTTCTATATCTTTGTCAAACTGAGAGCCAGACAACAAAACTTTCAATTTGCATAAATTTATATTTTAAAAAACTGTGATTTAAAAAGATACACTTTCTTAAAACATAAAAAATACAGTGGAATATCGAAGATTAATTTCATGAATCTTCCCTCCTTAACCAAGATAGTGAACTCCTCAAATTTTATTTGCCAACCGCTTTCTCTCTTCATTTTTGGCTTTTGAATTAAATGCATTTTAACCAGCTCAATTATTTATTTCATGCTGTGTTTCATTCATAAATGAAAAAGTTCAAACTTTATTTGCAAAACATACATGGACTGGCTCAACATTTGTGATGCCTTGGGTGAGATCATCCAATCGATGGAGCTGTTGTCTGGCGTCTACCTGGTAGATAAACAGTAATACTGATTTGAATTAGTTTTTCAAAAAATATTTGTTCCTGTCTGAATTTGATATTAAAATAGAAACTCAATTATCCAGACTAATTGTGAAAGCGGTGAAATGAAAATATCTGGGTAAATGACTTTTCTCTGATAATGCATCAACACATTTTATAATAAAGGTTTGGTGCCTGATTGTTTGGTTTCTTTGTGAGATCAAATGTGATGCAGATGTAAGCTAAATGGATAATATAAACATCTACCCCAAACTGGATTCAGATTGACAGCAGTATTCATTTTTGCCTTTCATTAAAATATTATTGCATAAGCTTATGTATGTTACAAATATAGGACATTGGTCGGCTACTGATAAATCAAGCTCCTCTGCTTAATTCTTTGATGCAATAAAAAGAAAAATAACTTTTGTTTTTTAATGATAATTTCTTTGGAGAGAGTCAGTAGGGTCAAGGTGGGAGGGGTTGTGGAGATGAAATGCATGTGGAGAAAGAGTTTGAGACCAGAAAGGTGACAAGGCAGTGCAGTATTTTCATCAAATGATAGAGGTCAGTTAAGATTGATGTACTTTTTAACATTTGATAATAGTTTTCTTCATGAGCTTTGCTTTTGAGGAAAAAAAAAAAAGGCTTTGTGACACTCTCTTTGCCATTCTATTTACCAGACTGAAAATGTTGTGATGTCATGTTTTCTAACCTTTGCCCCCTTGCTGTGGCTCACAAAATGTCAGTCAGGACAATCAAGATCATGGATATCTATCTGACACCTGTCCGGACTTATTTTGTAAAGGAAGAGTAAATCAGAGCTTTCTGCCACCTTTTTACAAGACTCTTTAAGACTCCCTCTAGAATCATTGGCAACACACATTTACTTTTTTCATAAATTAATTATTTTTCCTATGATCCGTGGGTGGACAAATTGTTAGATCTAACCTTGACCCCCCCATCAGTCATTCATCACTCATTTGGTGAAATGCCAACTGATTGAGAAAAACAAAGAGCTAGACTACTGAAGAGCTGCAAACAGTTCTCAAGCATTCAAATGGATAAAAAAAAAAAATTTGATTGCACATTGCCACACATCATTTTTTTGTAAGGAAAAATAGTTTCAAAGAAAGAGCAGCAATTGAATAAACCTGTTTGTTAACTACTGAATGTGACCAGAGAGCTGTTCTCTAAAATTTTGTAAAGTTCATGGAAATTGCACTTACTGTGTTTTCTTCTGGATGCCTAGGTGAGTAGTAACCTTGTCTGGGTGGGATGTCCTCCACTGTAGGCTTTTCAACAGATTTGTCACGTTTTCGTTTTGTTTTTGTGCTTATATCAGACCCAGTGTCAAAATTGGTTTTCCATACCAGCACCTGTGATGAAATGATAG